TAAGCGCTGTTCGATCGCTCCCCACTGCATTGTCAAAAGATTTTCACATAATTTCTGAAAACTTTACCATCCTCCATATATTATCGCAGCGCACTTAACACTCGCAAATGACACATCATCGCACATAAATTTTCTTTGAAACTCAAAGCATTTCATTCATTGTAAGTGTGTCCTTCGATTAGGGAATATGAAAATACTTCTAAGCTATATACTATAGTTTTTTTTTCTTTTCCCTATTTCGATGTCAGCATAGTACGCGTGAGTGGTATAATACTTAAAAGTTTCGATGAGTGGCTTTTGCTGCCATAAAGCAACTATAACTATAACACAAAAGAGCTTACTTGTGCTTAAAACTGAAATTTATCGTAACTAGTATGTACGTATGTACATTTTACATACATAGAGAACTCGGAATTTGTAAAGCTCAAATTTGAATATGCATCCATATGCACATTAAAATAATGGCGTGCGTACATACAAATGTATGTAGTTAGACTTTAGTTAATCAACGGATTGAGATAAATGTATGTGAGAGAGTGAGTGAATGAGTAAGTTTGTTGCTCTTTCAAGCTAAAACATCGTTGCGTATTGCTATAAAAGCTGCCGCACAGATAGGTTATAACCTGGATTAATATTTGTATGTAGGATATTTTCAAAAGAGAGATGTCAAAAGTTGCAATCAATAAGTTAATAAGTTAAAAAAAATATCACAGTACATACATAGATGCATAACGAAAGGGGTTCCAAAACGATTTATTTCGAAAATATTTTTAAGAAGGTTGCCACCTATTTAAAAATTAAAAATCGATTTCTTTTTAAATAAAACATTTCAACAATGTGGGTGTCAATCCAAAGGGGTTCAAAACCTATTTCATTCGAAAATATTCTTTAAGAGGGTTGCCACCCGTACAAAAACTTAAAGTCTTAAAATGGGTATCCAACACTCAAAAAAAAAATACTTCCTTAAAACAAGAAAACAGTATCCTTATTTTAGAGTTACACTTTTTTCCTTAACATTACGAAAAATTTACTCAATTTGAAAAGTTTTTCCTTAATTCAAAAATAGGGCATCATTAATTTGAGGAAGTAAATTTACTCAATATAAGTAATAATTTCCTTAAATAATTTTGAATTTTGTCAGTGCAGTTAAGACAAAGTTAATTGCTTTCCTGCCAAATGTCGCCTGTGGCGTCGCGTGAAGACTACTGCTTCTGAGTTAGAATTGAATGGGTAACAAAACTGCGTACCACAATTTTTTCTAGAGATTCTTAGAAAAAAGTTTTAAGTTTGTTGATTTTTTTTTTTTAATTTTCATCAAAGGTTATACTTGTATTTGCATGATTCTTTTAGAGAGTAAGCTGTATTTCAATTGAAGATTGATGTAAATAAAATACGAGAATTTTAACCCAGAAACATAATAAATTGAACAACCGTCAACCCGTTATATGTATATTATTTTGCACACAGCTGTAGTTCTGCTAAAGAACCAGCAAAATATGCGAAAATCTAATTCACGCACTCACACCTCCTACACGCAACGACTCGCAGAGTATTACAAATTTCTACTCATTTCTTGAGTTCCTGGCGCTTTAGGTGTTTTGTTTTGAATTTTCCCTCCTGGCAAGCACGCCCATTTTTCTCTCTCTTGCCCAAAAGCCTTACTCGTCAGCTACGAAGTGAAAAATGTCGGTTGACGCTGCAGCAGACGCTGATAGATGTGTGGCCCGTCACCAGCATGCAAGCAGTAACGACATAGCGCGACTTTGAGCATAAAGACGAAAGGAAAGATTGGAATTCGAGGTAGCAGTCTTGAAATTGCCTCCGGCTGACTAGCTGACTGACTGACTGTTTGGCTGGCTGGTTCTGGATGTAGCCGCTTTGACTGCTGCTGCTGCTGCTGCAGCTGTTGTTGTGACTGTGAAATACTTTGCTGTCAAGATTGTTGTCATTTTTCAGTGCAACACTTTGCGTGTACATCGAAATGAACAATGAGCGGGCGTGTGTGTGTATGCACGTGCGTGTACCTACGTGTGCGTGTGCTGACTAGAGTTCGGTGGCAGCTTGTTTGTGCCTCACAAGAGCGTCTGCTGACTTGGCTATGTTTCAAAAAAATTGTTGTTGTTTCTGCAGCTGTTTTTTTTTTATTTCTCTCATTGCCATGTTGAAGTAAATTGAATGCGATTTTTTTTTTTGTGCTTTGCCTCTCTGAAATGTAACAACACCAGAAAATATCAGGCGAAGGAGCCGCAGAAGGGCGCCTGAATACGATTGACAAGTGCTGCTATCTTGCGTGCATGTGGGTGACAGCTATCATAAGTGCGGGTAAATCACCACAACTAAAATCTGTTTTTCTTTTTTTTCAATTTAGGTCTTCCTTAGCGCCATTTTTGAAGCCATTTTCAATTCACGCCCTTACCAACGCCTATTTCCTTTATTTAGCTTCTTTTCTTGCTTTACCATCATATTTTGCGCCACGATTCTTCTTCTTCTTCTTCTTCTTCTGCTCATTGTCTTATTCTAGCAAAATCTAATTTTTTTATGTTGGAAATGATGCGTCGCATATGGGGGCCATTCACGCACTCTGACACACGTACATATGTACATGGATGCTAACCGCATTGCCCTTTTATGTTTTTCGAAAATACATTGCATACCCACAGGCGACTACTTGTCTGACTGGAAAAAAGTCCTTGATGCTGCCATAATCTAAGGCAATTTAGTTGATTTGATTTGTGCTTGAGGATGATGTGGCGAACACTAATGCGTATTACACATTCAAATGTATGTACATATGTATGTATGAATGCGCATAAATACTACATAAATATGTTTTTCCAAATAAACGTATGCTGCGCATTTAGGGCACTTTGTAACACAGTCTGAGGTTAGAGGTAAAACACAAGTCAAATGTTAAGTTTTACTTTTAGTGGAAGTTTCAGTTAGGAATTGGCTCCTATCCTTACCAGATGTGTATCGATTTATAGAAGTAATCATTAGGATTCTTTCGATTTCAGCAAACTTATTGGCTTCTGGCTTCATGTAGTTCCTACACTCGTCACTACCATTGCTTGGTTTCTTCATCTGTAGATTTTAATAGTTGTTTTTGTATAGTACCTATAAGTTCGGTTTTCCATCCCATCCATTATTTCATCCCTTTCGACCTCCACCTCGACCTTATCCACTGGAAATCGAATAAGTATTCAGTCGCCTACTGCCGTCCCTAAATTGTAGCGCTAAGCGTTGCGTTTTCCACTATCAACGAAGCGCGCGCTATCCTTAAATCAACGCGGCGTAATTTTTGACGTTTATTCTCGTTTCCTCTTTCACTTTTTTATCCTTTCTCTTTCTTTTCGTCTTCTGCATCCAACTTCAACACGTAACGCCCTGTCAAAAATTAAAATTCCATGAAGAAAATGAAGTTGTCATGTGTGTCGATCACAGTCAGGTGGTTGTGCCACAATAAATGACCAGTCGGCAATCCCACAAGTTGTCTGCAATCCCATCTGCTCAATGAAAGCAAATACCTAACTTGACATGAGATTGAAGCAAAATGATTTTTGCCTGCATTCAACCTACAAACATACGCCCAGTTTCTGACGATGCCTTCGATGACCTATAGTGGGAGTGTTATAACTTGTTGTGGCCCAATATTCTAGGATCAAAAGTCTCATTACCATATACTGCCGATTGATATTTTCCAAAGAATTAAATTAGCTCATTATCTTTTCCAAGTCAAGATTTTCCCCGCCAGCTTCGATATAATAGACTCTGGGTCCTGAACCTGCGTCAGCTTTGTATTGGAATTAAGGGTGACGTACTATTCCGCGGCATTGAAGGGACATTAAAGTCTAAATCTCTGTATCCAGCAATTTCCGCCTCACTCCACAATATATCAGACAAGCCCTAGACCTTAAGAGCCTCCCCACGGATGAAAATGTTAAGTGACGCTAGGTTTAGCAGTACATCAAGAGCAGTCCAAGGTGTTGTAGGGAAGCAGGAGCAGGTAGATTTTTCCTCCTAACATTTCACCAGCTGCGTTCACTTTTGGAAAGAGTAAGCCAAACTAACGCCATCACTGAGCGGTCGTTAGCAGATAATTGCTTTCCAACTCATGCCGCGCTTGTAAGCACACGATCAGGCTGCGAATATTCAGAATATGTTTAGGTCCAGTGAGTGCATTGAAAGTAATCGCAATTACTACTTTTTTATTTCATTAAAATGTCGAAGCGAAACACATTACTCGTTTCACATTTGCTATGGACAATCTCGGTGGCAACGTAAGGAAACTGTAATAATAACAAAAATCCAAACACTGCTACCATGAAAATCCTTAATTGGCTGGCATTACTATAGCAACAGAGTGCAAATCCATAGCAATTTAGCGCCGTTTTATTTTGCCGTAATAAACAATTGCCGCTCTAAGAATAGTCAGTGGCCGAGCAGTAACATTTATACTTGCAGACAACAGATCAATAGACATTAACACATTCTAAAAATTTTTAACTAATACATAGTGTGAATAAAATAGTGAGAAATAAGTGGAAAATAGTTAAAACAAAAAAATGGGCAAAAAGAGCAAAGCCAACAAATTGGCCAAAATGTCGGAGGAGGAGCGAGCGCGTTATATGCAAATGCGCGCTGATATCGAGGAGGAGGCGCGGCGCCGCAAGGTGCAACTGATATCCCTCTTCATGAAGGTACTCTAGAAAAATATACATACATACATACGTATATTCAATTGAAATTCATTTTTATTTTTCTTCAAATATTCATTTGCTCAACAGAATAAACTCAAACGTGAAGAGGCTTTTTGTCGCCTGAATATGGCCAAAATCAATCAGGAATGGCGTTCGATTTTGCGACAAGTGAAAGTACAGGAATTGCGCAAGGAAATTGAAGAGTTGCAGAAATTCTTTCAAGAACGACTCGATCGCAAAGACCGTATTATTAAACGATTGCTCAACGATATCGATATAGCAGAGGATATGTATTCGACGCTGCAGCAATCGCATATGGAAATTGTTAATAAAATGATTGGTAGGACAAAGTTAAGAGAGTGCAGATATATGTACATACAAATGCATGTAGGAAAAAATGGTGTACCACCACGATTGTGAGAATACAAAGGTTGCGCCGATCTCGGACCGCTATTCCTCTCTTAACGAATTTGAAAGAATCGTGGTTTGCATGACGTCACACTTGTGCAATTTGTTTACGTTTTCCTTGCAACATTTTTTCTTCTTCTTCCATTCTTGCTCACGTTTTGGCATTTCTCTCTCGCAATTGCACCAGTGTGACGTCACACAAAAGTTATTCTCAAAAATCCTCTCTGATCGGCGCAATCTTGTATTCTATCATTCTTGGTGTACGACTGTGACTTCTAAGAAAAATCACAGTGAAATAAAGAATTGTAGTATAGGCAAATGAAAAGAGGATAATAGGATATTGCATGCCTTTGTTTAATATAAACTTCTAACTCTTCTCACTCTTTTTTTGCATTTTAGGTCTCCAACAACAGCGTATGCAATTCTTGAAAGACAACTATGAGCAAAATAAAATAACTCTATTAAATGAGTACGAGAGAGACTACATTGATTTTCAAGAAAAAAGACAGTGTGCCTTGGAAGAACTCGAGTGTGTTAAGTATCAGCTGGAAGATGAAGGCGATAGGCAAGCCGCTGAACGTGAAGAAAGGCATCTGCAGAACTTGGATGATCTGAAGAGTGAGGTACGATAATAAATTATACTATTTCGACTCTACTTCCGTCTCTGAGGAAAACTTAAGCTTGCAAGTATGGTATTACAGTGAAAGTTCCTATTCGTTTAGTGTGTAGTACTTGAAGCTGAAATATACGCTGGCAGAAATATGCCAGCGTTGGCCTTGGCTGATCTGAACTGTCAAAATATGAGTAGATTCTCACCTAAAGTAGAATATTTTAAAATTAATCTTTATGCCTTAAATATCAGGTCTTTTTTACAGAAATATGTACATACATATATTAAATTATTTATTATTTTGTTCACCTAGATTGTCTAAAAATGACTGTAAAAAAAGAAACTCCAATACTTGTTCTTAAAAAAAAACGTTTACGCAGTAGGCTTAAACAAAAGTATACAGCACTTTGGGTTTCCTATTTCTGCGAGTTCATAACCTCCATAATCATTTTCATAAAAAATATTTTACATGGTGATGGAAAAAATAGCTTTCCGAATTTCAGCAACCGAAAATTTTGATAAAATTCGCAACAATTCGCAGACAATGACTAATGTGAGAAAACAAATAGTATATCGCAAAACAGCATCCTAAATATACCCCAAAAATATCCATAAATAATTTTCTCTACCTAGATTGTTGAAATATCACATTTTGCATCGTCTCGGCAAGAAACATCATTGCTCCAAAACTCATTTGATTGCTGCCTTATTTTATGATAGAGCTTTCGAGCCGCTGCTTATCATCATCTAAAACTCTTCGCAATCACATCTTTCTGACTATTGAATTTATTTTTTTTTTTTTCATTGAAAACCAATAAAATCTAACAACTGAATCAGAAAATAAGACAATTTAATAAAAAAAAATATTGCTTAAAAATTAAATAAAAATAATTTTACTTTTTAAAACAATATAATTTAAAAATTAAAGGAAAAAGAAATTTACAAACCAAAATCAAATTGTATTAAAAAAACAAAAAATTAAAGGAAACTAAAAATATATTTATCTTTTTAAAAAATCTAAAAATTAAAAGAAAACTTTAAGGAAACAAATTGACTTAAAAAAATAATAAGTTCCAAAAAAACTTTGTTTAAAAAAATACTATTTTTTTAAATAATAACACCTAAACATTAAGAAAGAAAAAAATTTAATCAAAGAAAAAAACACATTAAATGAGTTTCTAAAAATTAAAATTAAATTGAATTGTATAAATTTTTTTCTTTTTAAAATAATAGAATCTAAAAATTAAAAGAAATTCGAGCAATGGCTTAGCACTGTGGGAGTAGCCTCTCTGGTTAAGATATCTCTTGCTTCATTTAACTCTCTTAGTAGCTGGGCACCCACAGCAGTTGAAAATTTTTCTGTTCAACAAGGACAGCACTCCAAGCACTCCAAGGCCAGAGAGGATTTAACCTTAAATGATAGGTATAGGAATACGAAAATCGGATAGTTGAAATAAGGGCTTTCTGGAAAGCATGCCGTGAGTGCAAAGAGCTTGAAATGCTGCCCAAAAATTAGCTTCCCTTGTCATTCGAATTGGCGTCAGTTGGTACAGAAGAGAAACGATTGGCATGCTTTGATGGACTTTTACAAAATCGCTTAGACGGGTACAGCGCCAAATAAGAAGAAGAAAAAGAAGAAAGCATGCCGCCGCCCATCTAGTGCATTTTTATTTGCTGATCACGACCTTTATCCACTGTTTTGCTGACAGTTTTTTGTTGGTTTAATGAAAATACAGTTGGATTTTGAAATGCTAAATTCTTTTTATAGCTTTGCGGTGCATAAAAACTTTTGTGGTGTCTTACCTCGTACATGCATAAAAAATTCACGTACATAAATATGTATGTATGTAAGTAACTACTTCAATTGAAAACCACGCTGAATTCCTGCCAATCATCACAATTCACCTTCGCATATTCACTCATGCAGTGTACGAGATCACGCGAGTAGTGACACTTGTCACGTCGACGCTGTGATTCCAGATAATGAAAGCAGTCCTGTATGGTGTCTGTATAAAAATTGCGTAGCTCGCGATCGCGCAACTCACGTGTGAGACCATATTGTACCTTATAGCGATCCGGATAGTCGTCCGAATTAAGCTAAAAATGTAAAAAGGTAACGTTAATTCGGTCCTGACGTTGAACGCCAGCGTAACTAGGAATAGCTACCATGTTCATTTCTTCGAAGAAACAATGCACCACACAGGCAGCATCTGCGGTGTCGTTGTTGGAACCTTGATTATGGTTGTTGTTGTTTTTATTGAAATTATTCTGCGATTGACCTCTTTGACTGTTGCCGCCACCACCACCACCACCACTACCACTGCTGCCAGAATTGCGACCACCATTGTTAGAGTTGCCATTGCCGCCACCATTTCCGCCGCCTCCGCCACCATTAGCATGGCTATTGCCATTACTATTACCATGCTCATAGCGGCCGCCATTATTTTTGCCTGTGGATGAGGAAGACGATGATGCAGATCTATTGTTGTTGTTGTCGGCGCGATTATTTTGATTATTTTGTTGGCGTTCACGATTCCGATTGCCATGATCGCGATCATAATTTCCATTGTTATTATAGTTGTTGTTATTATTATTGTTGTTGTTGTAATTATTATTGTTATTGCCATTATAATTATCGTCATCATCGTAATCATAATTATAGTCGTAACGCGAATTACTTTTGTACTGCGTACCAAAATTCGATTGATGCAAGGGTCCATAGTGCTTGTTGTTGTTGTTGTTGTTATTATTGTTGTAGAAACCCGTTGATCCTCCATTGTTGGGATACATTTTTTCGCCGATCTTGCGCATACAACTGCGCGTAATACGTTTTAACTCAGACTCAGAGGGACCATCGTCTGTGCGGCACTTCAACGAGTCGCAGGAGGAGATTAGGAGTAACACTGAAACACAGACACGACCAGATGCGCACGCCAACGATTGCCTCGACATGATCACCTCACTTGATACTTTGCAACCGATTTTTGGCTATTTATAGTATTTTATACGCCTTATGTAAAGTATGCATGCATTCATATTTTGTGATTGTCAATCAAAACTGCATGCAATCGCTGATGTGACAGCGAAGAACAATTTGTAATTGCGAATGAATTTTTTTTTTTTTATATTAGGTATAAAAATATTAATCTCACGCCTGTCAATCTTCCACCATAGATGCAACTCTACATCGAGAATATCACCCAAAGTGGTGAGACGAAACTCGAGCGTCTGTGGCAGGAATATCAAGATGTGCTCTCCGGTTATATGCAACATACAGAGAGCTTCTACACCGAGTACATAGATCTGAAGGAGCGTGATGAGGAGAGCACGAATCTTATACGCGATCATTGTTATGAAATTGAACGAGCCAGCGATCAGTTAGCCCATCTGAAATTAGTCTATGCCGATACAGTAGATGGAAATGAAGTGAAAACTATATACTTCGTCAAGATTAGAGATGATCTACAGCATCGTTTAGAAAAGTCTAAAGCTGATTTCGAAACCGAACAAAAAGCCGACGAAGAGCGCTTTAAGCTAATGAGTGTTGTGAGCTACAATACATTAAAGGTAAGTAGGTACATACTCGTACAACTTAAATGCTTGCGGGTAGCAGTCAGTATTAAAACTCACTTGACATGATTGCAGCATCTGAAAAGCATCGCTGCTGAGGGCGAAACCTTACTCCAATTGGCATTCATTTGTCGCAAACATGAAACCGAACGAGAGCAATTGCTTCCCTTAGGCTTGCCGCCGCTTAGCAAGCCGATGTTTGAGGAGGCACAAAGCTCTGAAGAAGTGGAAGCGGCGAAGGATGTAGAACAACCGCCTAAACATTTGGATGAGGTGAGTAAAGGCTTTAAGTTCTTTCTATTATACATCTATATCTAACGAAAGTGATTATAACAAAATCGTTTCACCAAGCTAACGCTTTTACTCGTATTTGCTTATTTTTGAGAGCCATTATCATAAGGACCATAGGCGTTGGTTATTTGTGTTACCACTACGAACTATTAACTGCTTACCTTTAACGCAAAATGCTGCTTTCCAAGACCGAAGTTTTGCAGGCGGTAGATGTCGATTCCGATGGCCGGTCAAAAAGTTGTGATCTCTCACCGCGTAAAACCTAATCAGACCTATGTGATGTGTCTTATCACTACAACCGCCAGAATTTTGTGCGGCGGCGTTGTCAGACCTTGCCACTGAATCCGTCCCAACCTCGAACAACAATACCCTGAGCTGGCATGAGGCTAATCAAATTGATACCAACTCGACATTCTAAACAAATTTATGGGATCAGTAAGGCAATAATCAAGGCAAACGTACGGCATGAACTTCACTTCAATAACCGATCAGTTTAATCTCAAGTTTATCTCTTTCCTTGAAGGACTTATCATAGAAATGTTTTGCCGCTACAGCGCAGCGATTCCTTAAGATGTACCGGAAAAAAGATTTCTTCAGCTAATACCGCGATCAGATAAAGGCACTCCCAACCAGCTTAATCTATGTTCACTAAAAATCTTTGAAGAGTACAATACAATACCATCTGTATCAGCTCCAAACCAATCCTTTACCTACTTCATCGTATCAGATGTGCAGCGAAGTGGAGCGGGTATCAAAAGAGGTTCCTCACGAAAGTGAACTTGGTAATTTGGATGAATCGGTCGATTGAGTGTTGAATAGTGATTTCAAAATAATAGTTATCAAAAAAATCAACACTCCTCAATCCAACTCCGACTACGCAGTCCACTGTATTGCTACGTTCAGACCGAAACCGAAAAATGATTGCGGGCATAATTCATTTTGAGAAGGGATATAAGGCCTGATGCGCGCACTAAATTCACTTTGCTCAATGAATATAGAGCGCTGATGAAATAAGAAGACGGCTTTAATTAGTGTGGTATTGGTTGGTTGGTAGAAGCATCACCTAAACACATGATACGCTTTCTCTGGGATTCTTGGTTTTTTTCTGCTTCCGGGATTGGGTTTCGTCAAACCATTTGGATTTTTCGATGAATCTATTTACGCTAGTAATAGCGAATTTGGAGATCTCCCTAAGATTTTGGATAGAAAAAATCGCAACTTATTCGTGCCAATGCTGGCCACTTGCAAAAACTTCCTTACTTCGCTCAATATCACAGCTACGGCACCGTTGGTTGTATGGAAGGCCCATTTTAAACGCATGTTCGCCTATCGGCCAATCTCCTGTTATCGTGGCTGTAGCATTCCTCAACCTCTTGAGAAGTTCTTCTCTCTTTGGCTTATCATAATGCGGCCATGTCTAGAAGGAAACTTCATCTGAAAGTTTTTCTCGAAGTATTTCGTAGGAGATATATGTATGCTTAATCTGATTGTTTCCCTGTTGCAGAACGCTCCAGCAGCCTGACTCTTTGTATTTATGTCCACATATGTATGTAAATATTTTTACTCATTATTCCTCTCTTCATCAAACACAGAACACTTTCGACAATTGGATGTTGATGGAAAATTTTTGGCGTCGCGTCAACAATGCACGCGTTGATGTCGTCTGCATGAAGCGACAGAAGAAATCGCTTGAAAACGAAAATGCTCTACTCAAAGCACAGCTCCAGGAGCATCTAATCAACTTGAATATCAGCAATGGTTCCAATCTGCACGTCAACGACTATCTAGCCAAGCGACCGAGCAGCATGCGTGTGGATCGTGTGCAGCAATTAGTGAAACACGACGACCAGCGACAAACGAAATGTCGCAGCGCTACCGAGGTACGCCGCTCCTCGGGAAATTTCAGCAGCAGCCACGGCGTTAGACGCCCCATCACTGCGTGCATTGAGGCAAATTTCACCAGCACCGTGCGGACGGCCCGTCTGCTGCGCGGCAAGCCGAAATTGGCGAAAATTGAGTCATTCGTGCGGATGTAAGCTTTTTTCTGCGTTCAAAAAGTTGTTTCTAGCTGGTATGCCATTAATTATGTCGACAAAAATGGATAAATAATTTCATAGCATTTAAGTTATAAAATTTATGTGTAAGTTTAAAGTGACATAAATTGTCGGACGACAGCGGATAATTAAAAATAATATTCAATCGGAACGTTGTTATCCTTTTATATCCGTTCATTGATATTCAGCTGAATGTGAGCTGTCATAAATTTGGCGACGATGATTGATTGAAATTGCAAAAATTAACTTGAATGCGAGAAATGCGCGCGTGATTGGGTGGTAGAGGGGGGGGAGAGGCGAGCGTTTGCGGTTCTATTTGTTTTTATGTGTTAGGTTGCGCCGCGAAATTTATTGTTGTGATTTAGAATCGAAAATTCAATTTTGTATACAGGAAATAGCAGTGGAGCTGCGGCTGCTGAGGTCGCGCCAATCGCGCATGCAGCTGTTTATCTGTAGGCTCCTCTGGCACGTCTGGCAGGCATATTCTTTGACAGCTTTATTCTGTTGCTGTTAAAATGTCGCTCACACGCTGTGTCATTGAAAATTATAAAACAAAAATTACAGCCAACAAATCAATTTCAACAAAATATGCATGCATGTACAACAGTAATGCCCACTGATAGCGACGACAGACAGCTGGAAGCCCTGAAAGTGAACAATAATAACAATGTCATGTCTATGTACATACTATGTATTCAACAGTCGCCACTCACCCTACTAGTTGATACTATTCATTATATATTCATGTCAAACGTTGAAAACCATTTGTCAAAAATCTCCAACGCAACAAAACTACAAAAACACAAACAACGATGATACTGGCGGCAGCTTTGTAAAACGCCAAACAAAAAAATGGCGAATATTTTTTTAGAAATTATTTCAAATGTCACCAAGCGCCGCCATCCATGAGTAGCGTTGCACCCACCCCACAGTTATGGATGTTATCACAGCCAGCCATCCTCGGCGCGCGGTGTCAGCACATTTACGATGATGTTATGCGTCAACTGCTGCCACGTAACCAACAGTGGTGGATACATAGTATTACATTGGGTGGTCCGAAACCTTCGGTCACGATTTGTCGATAATAGGGTTTGAGCTGTAATGTGTTTGAAGGACAGATAGATTTTAAAGCCTACTTGAAAAAACGGCACTAAGTACGGTAATATTAATTTCCGCTGATAGAAACTTAGTCCATTATAAAGGCGACATTTTATAGATTATTCAAAGAGTAATAAATTACTGGAAAGTGTAATAAATTACTGAACGAACGGCGAAGGAGTTTGTTCGCTTGGTCGACGAAGTTGAGTCCTGAGGGAAAGTGGAGGTTATACTATTCATTTCAGGGAAAGGAAAGCGCAGCAGTCATATTGTAAGGGCAGATCCTTGGTTTGTATCATCGAGGAATCATTATAATTGAAGAAATATTCCCTGGCTGAACTCAGTTTATTTAGGGAGCCTTCAATAATGACCGCGTGAAAGCAATAAGAAGGGCTTTCCTAGAATGTGGCATTCAGCATTCTATAGTATGATGGATTAACTACAAGCATGATAGCTAGTCTGGGCGCCAGGCAATATGTCATCGGAGGGTACGATCTCTGTTTTGGCCGTGATCGCTCTTACATCCACTGACACTACACATGACCTGGATCAATTTAAGCTTTGCCACGTGGGTGTTTCTTGCTGTTATGACGGCGGTCACGTCGTCTGCGAAGGGGACAAGGAAGGCGCTGTCCGGCATTTCCGTGCCCAGCAGACTGTCATACATGGCGTCTCAGAAGTCCGGGCCAAGTACAGACATCTGTGCCGCTCCGCCGGTTATACATCTTTTTCTCAGACCTTGCATTGTGTCGTACAATAGCCAACGATCTCATCTGGCGAAAACAGTGGCGCCTCGGCTCGCTCCTCTGCGAACATTGTATCTGGTCTTAGCGGATGTGTGGGAAATAGTGCATTCACTATATTCTTAACTCGGAACTGGGACCTCGTCCATCGCTTGCGATGGTGTATCGAATTTTTGCATGACTATTTTGTATCCGTAGCCCCAGGGATCACGATCCGCTTCGTCACATAACGCTTTATTATTATTATTATCGTTATAATTATAATTATGGGCCATATGCAC